TTCGGCTCCATGCTCCCCGAGACCACGCCTGCGCGACCAGCCCGCCTGCGTCGTGCTCCTCGGCTCTATGCTCCCCGAGACCACACCTGCGCGGCCAGCCCGCCTGCGTCGTGCTCCTCGGCTCTATGCTCCCCGAGACCACACCTGCGCGGCCAGCCCGCTTGCGTCGTGCTCCTCGGCTCCATGCTCCCCGAGGCGTGCTCCTCGACCCCATGTCGCCCGGGATGCGCTCGACCTCATGTCGCATGAAACTACCGTGGTACTAGAGGCTGAAGCCATGCCTCGGACTCCCCCTTTTTGCAATAACCGACGCATAGCTTCTTTCGGGGGGGGGGGGGAATATGATGATGGTAATAATGGCGACATGACGCGCCACGACGTCAACCACGCCTGGACGACACTCTGCCCCAAAGAGGGCGATAATGCCGACGCGATGTGCGCTGACGTCACCCGCTCTCAGACAACGACTTCATCGTTGTCTGACCCAACATGCTTGGCCGAGGCAGAGGAGAACGACGATCGAGGCTCGCCCATACCCTGCGGTAGTTCGGTTCTCCACGCAACGCCAACGGCAATGTCAGACGCCATTAGAGGTACGATCCTGCTCCTGCAGGCAGGCACATCAGGTAACACTAAACTTACCTATAAATACCCCCGAGTTCTAAGCGGGAGGGAGAGGGAAAAAAGATTTCTTCATCTGGAACCCCCTCCACATCTGCTAACTTGATCGTCGGAGGGGTTGAGCCGAGCTTCCGACCCGACCTGTGTGCAGGTGCAAGGACGGGGTTGCTTCTTCCCGGCGCTGCGGAAAAGCCTTCCTCTCGACGCAACGGCCCGATCGGACCACCGTAATCGGCTACCTAAACGATCTCGAGGGGGATCGTGCCAGATCCCGTCATTCGGACCCCAACCAAACCGCATCGGCCCTGAGGTCACGACATAAAAATATTTACACTAACATAAACTATCATATCATGCCGCCTAATATATGGTGGACGAAGCAATCTACCATCTTCCTTTGTCAGAACATATTCATGTTTGAGCGATGGGACATCGATCATTGTAGCTCCCATTGTGATTTACTGGGCCTACTCTGGGATGTACACCATGCTCGCCTCCCCTCGACCACTATCGCCTGCAATCGAGAAAAGACGAGGACATCCAGAACTCACTCTTCGTGGCACCACCGCCTCGTCGTCACCTACTCGTTCGGCGGCCAGTACAACCACCCCGTGAGAGGGTTTCTTGGGGAAACATCTTCCACATGCTGTTCTTCTGGAACAACACCGCCTACCACGACGTCCACCATCAGTTCCACGGAAACAAGTACAGCTCCTCGCTGCCATTCTTCGTTACTCGGGACAAGATCTTGGGAACCCACACGCCGTACATACTGCTGAAAAGAGCAGGCGGTGGCCTTGAAGCCCGACCACCGAAGGACTAGAGAATCTTTCCCTCTCTCTCTCTCCCTTGCTCATGTCTCTCTAGAAGCCCGACCAGCAAAGCACGAGAGTATCTTCCCCACCCCACTCCCCCCCTCTCCTCATGTTTCTCCATACTATCAATCCTTCGACCAAACTTTCGGGCAATTGTATGAATTGTGCATTATACCCATGTATATATACATATATGTTCATGCAAGATCATAAGATCTTGGTATCCAAACCTGTGATCTTGGAGATCATGTTATGCATTGAATTGACCCCTAACATCGATTGTAGGAGAACAGTTCCACAACTCCGTGTGGAACTAATCTGACCCTGCAAGTCCAACACTTCGGTCCGCCATACGACAGCTTGTCTAGACGTCTGACCATTTGCATCCACTTATCTCAAGACATCACGGTCAACCCGATACTGAAGCACACTTTTCAAGCATTCCACAACTCTTTTCCAACCATTGACCATCGGATTCTGGAACTCGTGAAACCAATTAGAACAAGCAACCTTCGGAAATAGACCAGCTAAATGACCCAAGTGGTTCCACCCATCAGCACATATCTGAGTCGAGTTTGCGTGTTATCATGTTTGCAAGCGTATAATCCAATAGGATTACTCGTACTTGATGCATCTTATTGTCATTATGTGGCATGCAATTGGAATCTTCGTATGAGCATCATCGGTGACGTAGAACACCATGCCGTGTGGCCAATTTAGTATGTGGCTACAGAACTTTTTTATGTTTAGTGTGTGGGCGTCATTTGACTTAATTATAATGCATATCTAATTATGTGTTGGTTATCTAATTTGAATCTAAGCTTTCCTAAGTACGATGACGGCAATACCAAGAACCACCTTATTCTACCAGCCTATATCGTACGCGACTCAGCGCTCACCGATTCGATTGGTCAAGCTTTGTGGGGCCCGCTCATGAGTTCCCCGATTGCTATCGAGGTAATTGGTGGGGACATGTGGTAAGGTGCAGAACTTACTCTTGCGACTCTGGGGGTAAGCATACCGCGGAAGATTCCAACCGTAGAGAGACTGGTGGTGGTGGGTTCCGCTGACCGCTCGGTCAATAAAAGCACGCCTCTCTCCTTCCTTCCCTCCTCGTGTTTTAAACCGAGAGCAAGAAACAACGCGACGGCTTCTTGGAATTGTGGCGGTGGCGGAGAAAGTAGAGCAAACCCACGTTGTAATTCCCCTCGATCGATCAGAGTTCTTCTTCGATTACGCTCAGGTGAGGCGGTTCTTTTCTTTCTTCTAGTTCTGCTCCATCTGAATGGGTAGCCGGAGGGCCTTCTTGATGATTAGGTAAAAGAAGGTGGCTCCAATATTTTTGGAAGCGGCCTTGTCTCGAGACGTAGGGGTTTAGTTGGCCTTTCGATTGAGATGCCAAGATTGGAGCTTTTGTTGACCTCCAATGGCAATTGATCGTTGTTGATATCAGTAATCGATCCCTGTCGAGCAAAAGATCAACTACCATCACTCGTTTGCATGTGGAGCTGTCTTATATGTGGACGTCTAAGGGGCAGGAGTAGTTATGTTTCTCTATTGTCGCTGCAGCTTGCAATTGTTGTTGTCGTATACGTATCTTGTGAACTGATGGATTGGTTACTAGAAAAAAAGGGCTGATGTTTTTGCTTTTTCTTTTAATTAGAAAGAGTAAATAAGTGGCTGGAATGAGTGAAGCAAGAACATCGATGGTGCCACAGGTGGTGTGCCATCAGTCTCGGACCGTGGAATGAAGTTGCAACCTTTAATGGAGTTTCATGCATAAATTAGTCTCCTGGAAGCTCCATATTTTGGGTTTCTTGACAAGTTGAACACTTTGGGATAACTAAATGGAGATTACTAAGATGTGTACAATTCATCTCGCTTGAAGTTTTGGATCCACCAGAAGACAACCATGTGCTTGTTTCATGTACTGGGATGACCCTTGCTGAATAGGTGATAGATGACTGTCCCAAGTTAGGGCTTTGCTTTAGGCTGGATGATCTAGTACTAGATATGAGGGTAATAACTTGAAATTACTTGAGTAGAACAGTCAGAAGAACAGTTAACTGCTTGTTGCACAGATTCTAAAAAAGATGCTCTGATACATCAAAATAATAATAAAAAAAGGTATGTTGCCAGGCGAAGTACTAATCAAATGTTATAATGTAAATTGTCGCTTTCAATTTCCTTGCGTTCATAGGACATTTGAAGTTACAAGCCAGTGGTGTTTTGACGATGTGGACAACTCCAATCTCATTTTACCTTTGTTGTCTTTGTCCGACAGATTCTTGTCTTTTGAATTTCCATTCAGGAAGCTGCCCATCTATTTGGCAAACGTATAATGGCTATTACTTCATCAACTAATACCATTGGTTTGCTTAATTTACAAAAGAATGGCAAACATTCGAACATGGACCTGCCTTTGTTCCGCTCAAGTCATTTGAAGGTTAGAAGATTCAAAAGAATATTCAAATGTGCATCCCAGGTGAATGATATCAGTGTTGAAGTTGTAAAGCCTGAAATTGACTTTAAAGATCCAGATTGGAAAAAGCACTTCCAAGAGGATTTTGATAATCGGTTCAGGTTGCCACATCTTACGGATATTCTTGATGTGAAGCCAAGACCAACAACGTTTTCTCTTAAGAGCAGGTAATTTTTCAATATTCTTTTTCTGACATCATCATGCTTCAGATTTTCTACTTATTCTCAACTCATAATAGATCTTCTTGTGAAATCATTTCCTCAATGAAATTTGAGTTTAAGTCCATTGACATCCTTGGCTTTTTTTGTGTTTGAGATTAACGTCATGCCTTTTTCATATTGCATATAATTTTGGTTACTTTTAGTTGTATGATCTTAAGCTACAACCAAGTTAGTAGACCTTCCTACAGCCAAAGAATCGTCTAGGTCTTTCGAAATGCTTTTCTTATCTAAATTTGCCCTGCATAAAATTATCTTGCACTAATTTGAAACGGCCAATAGTAGGTTCACAAGTCTTTTAAATTGACACAGATGACGATCACAAGCTAATTAATACTATTTTTTTCTATTAATGCTTCTTATGCTAGTTATTCCTTAAGAGCTTCAGTCTATGTAAATTGGTTTTCTTTTGACTTTGACAGAGGTCCTCTAGATGATGGTAATGGTGCACCAATGGATACATGGTACGGCTATGTGAATGATGACGATAGAGCACTTTTGAAGGTCTTGTTTCTTTTCATGAGAGATGTTTTAGAGTTTTCTCCTTGTATCGTATAAAATTTCTAGAATGGTGTGTTGTTTTATTTCTTGTATGGATTAAGTTCTAAACATCATAAAGGCACATATTTCATATTACTATGTTGATAAAAAATTATAAATGCAGAAGACAATTATTTATATGTTGCATCATTAAATCCAACTATATAATGTGATTACTTTCTTGAATAAGTTTGTTTGCTCTGACTGACTTGATACTAACATTTGCAAATGGATAGCATAGTAGTGGATATTGGACTGACATTACTTGATACTAACATGTGCAAATGTCTATGGGCCTATTTTTAGAAAGGTAGGAAAGAGCATGGCATGGATGCATCATTTTGCTGGTAACCTTGCAATTGACAAGAGCTATTAAGGGATGAATTCAAGATATATGTTTTCCAAGCAATGCCATCTTAATTTGCAGAAAATGTATGAAATGAAGCTTTTCAAAAGAATGTACAAATGAGTTGAACGGAGTCCTTTCAAAAGAGGAGGCACTCTATCAAGTCATTTCAGTGAGATGAGTTCAGTACAAATAGATCTGTTGGGGGACAAGATATGAAAAATACTTACGTATATGGGCCAGCATATGGACCTGGTGGTCCATCTCATGGTGAGAGTGTGCTAACATATCCTTGCTTTTTTGACCTTGTGTCAGTCAGCTATGAAATTTAAATATTTGCTTTTGATGATCTTTTCAAACTATGAAATCCCGAAGTGTTCAATTTGTTTGTCGTTATTTGGTGTAAATTGTGAATTTTGTCTTGTCCTTCTTTTTCAGGTTATAAAGTTTGCTTCACCAAATTCTGCAGGAGCTGAGTGCATTGATCCAGATTGTAGCTGGGTGGAGCAATGGTATTGCTTTAAACAATAGATTCTTTTTGCCACTAATACAATATATTGATAAGATTTCCCATGCCATATATTGTGTCTAACTTACCTCCCATGGGTACCACATATAACATATAGAAACTTGGTGATTCTTGTTTTCTCTTTTTCCATCTTCTTCTTCTTTCTTTAAATTCCTTGTGTCATTTCTCTATACTTTAACTTGGAAAGTTCTAAGATGGTAAGACATTTCAATCCTGTCATACACTGATGATAGAGCTAAAAAGTTTTGAACGGATTGTGGTTGTCCTAAGATTCAAACTCTATGGAACAACAATTGTCTAGTCCTAGATTTTCATCAGACAACAAAAAAATCTTATATTTCTTCTACGTTATGTGATTATTTTACTTTGTTTGTTCAGGAAACAGTTTCTTGTTTCTTTGAGCATCCAACCAACTCAAGGATACACCAAAAGAAAATAGAATTCAAATCATTTTCAAGTTAATGAAAATCTTAATAATTTTATTTGGTCTTTTACCTTATCCTAATTGCTTCAGTAGTTTTGGGTTTTTGTACTTTTCTCGCAGATTATGATGGCTGTTGGGCCTATTCTAGTAAACTTAACCAACTGAGATTGAAAACATTTTAGTTATGGTCCATCGGCAAGTCTAAGGCAGTTAGGAGGGTTTGAGATTAACAAATCCAAAGTCTCAGAATTCTTTTGATTATAAATGCTTAATTGATAATTTAAATGACTCCTAAGGATTTGAGCCTAGAACCTCTTCAAGATGGAGAGGGGTGCCAACCACTAGGCCTGAGGCCTGGTTGGTTCAATTTATTCTGCAAGTTGATGATGCCTTTCTTCATTGCCTCCTCTTTTCCTCTGCATTATTATTATTTTTATTTTGATGTAGGGTTCACCGTGCTGGTCCTCGTAAACAAATATACTATGAACCTAAAGAAGTAAAAGCTGCAATTGTCACTTGTGGAGGGCTTTGTCCTGGTCTTAATGATGTCATTAGACAGGTAAGTCATCCTACTAGCTTTGATTTAACTGCAGTTTGTTGATTTAACTGCAAAGCTTGCCTTGATAATCAGCTTTTGCACTTTATCCTTCTTTAGTTAACTCAGGTATAGTAACTACAGATGTATATTTTCTTTTGTATTTTGTGGATAAAAGTTGGGAGGAGCAACTTACTCGATTTCTTTGTGGTTCCAGATAGTTTTCACACTTGAAAAGTATGGTGTTAAAAACATTGTTGGCATCCAATTTGGATACCGTGGATTTTGTGATGAGAATTTACGAGAAGTGCCGGTATGAACTGTTTTCCTAACTTGAAAAGTAGAATAATCATGTCATGTCATTAGCTAAATTCTAGCCTATTCTTCACCTGCAGCTTTCACATCAAGTGGTTCAAAACATTAACCTTGCTGGTGGAAGTCTATTGGGAGTATCTCGTGGAGGGCCTAGTATAAGTGATATTGTGGACAGTATTCAGGTATAGTTAGTTTGTGGCTTGTTAGCATATCACCTGTTGGCTCTACCATTTTACTTTCTAACTTTTTAGAAGCATGGAATATAGCTAATTTGTGACAAGCAAACATTTCAGGCTAAGGCCATAGACATGCTCTTTGTACTGGGTGGAAACGGTACACATGCAGGGGCAAATGCCATACATGATGAGGTATCGTTGGCTGCTTATTTTCTAGAGATTAAATTGCATTTATGCTTCTAGCTCATACATCGCCACCTGGTAGTTTTATGTGATCGAACAGACAACGTGATGAATCACGTAAACTACTGAAATGTTCTTTGATATACTTACACAAAGTTATTTTTTATTTCTTTTTGCTACTTTTTGATATTGTTGATCTTATGCTTTTCTTCACTAGTGTCGCAAGAGAAAAATGAAAGTGTCAGTTGTCGGTGTCCCCAAAACCATTGATAATGATATACAACTAATGGACAAAACATTTGGTTTTGATACTGCGGTAGAAGAAGCTCAACGAGCAATTAATTCTGCATATATTGAGGTAAATAATCTATTTATTATTTGGTCATTGCTCCTTGACAATTATTATCAATTAATAGTACCTTTTGCCTTTTCTTGTCACTTTGTTTCCTATGCTTAGGCTCAGAGTGCATACCATGGCATTGGACTGGTTAAATTGATGGGAAGAAGCAGTGGGTTCATAGCCATGCATGCATCACTTTCTAGTGGTCAGATAGATATCTGTTTAATCCCAGAGGTACACTATTTACATGATCGGTATTAATGTTCTCATGATAAGTTCATGATTCAATTGTGTCTGCTGTAGGTTCCCTTCAAGCTAGAGGGGCCAAATGGCTTATTGCAACACCTTGAGCATCTGATAAAAACAAAAGGAAAAGCTGTGGTTTGTGTTGCTGAAGGAGCAGGACAGGTAAGCTGATGACACCATTTACTGTTAGGTTTCTTATAATTTCTTAATATGAATTCTTGAGAGAAATTATCAGTGAGTATCGAACTATGGTATAAGTTGTATGTTAACATGATTCTAGTTTTTGGAGAAGCAATTCATGTTTAGAGTAACTAAGAGGTTCAAATATTCTTAGCTTGATAGTAGTCTAAACTCTAAAGTTTAACATTCTGAATTTGCTAGTTGTGTGCACAAAACAAGCGCCAATCGTCAGAATATTAAACAGAGTTCTATCATAAACATAGTGCTGCTAATGCTTCTGGTTGCATTAAGAAGAATTTTCTGGATTTCTACTTGTTTCATTTTAAAATGCTAGCAGCTAGGTTGAAGAATAAGCAGTGTTTCTATCTAGTTAAGTGCATGTTTCTTGAATCATCCTGTTGTCTATGACATGCATGCCTATCAGAACTGGTTTCTGTGATGATTTACATCGAATAAAATGTAGAGTTTTTCTGATATACTGGAACATAGCTAAAGAGGATTAAACAAATTTTACTGTATCTATTATAATCAACATTTATTAATCATCTTTCAGGAACTGCTACAGAAGTCAGCTGCATTAGATGCATCAGGAAATGTGGTACTTGGAGATATTGGAGTTCACATTCAGCAACAGGTTTAAATCGCATAGTCTATGTTCATTTATCTCTTTAACCTTTTTTTGTACAAAATTTGATAGATAAATACACTTCATACCTTTTGCGAGAAGGGCTTAAAAGAATGCTGCTAGGATGAATACACTAATAAAAAATGTTTGAACTAAATTAATATAAGTGACATAAAATGTGCCCAGAGTGAAAAATGAAGTTGGAAAATATCTATCATCTTTCTCATCCACTAAGAAACCAATTTTCTCCTGTACTACACCTTATCCGGAATGGCCCATGTTTTGCTGCTTTTATATGTTTCCCCTGCCTAATTTTGCCTAAGAGGAAATCATGTCTTGTGTGTCACATATATCTCTTTGTGCAGGATACACATTTTGATGAAAAAATGATTCATTAGTCACATGTTTTTGTTTATGACATACTTCTAACTTTGATCTGTTTGCTACGCTATGTCAAAACTTTGATGTAAAAATTCCACAACAATTATATAACTTTTTTCTTCTTTAACTCATGTTGAAATGGAAAAGAGATTCTGAATAATCCTCTTTTAGTTTGATAATGCCTTTTGTTCCTGTAAAATTATCTTGCTTGCGGCTTATACCATGAGTAGACTTGTGCAGTTGTGCTATCTTTTTTCATAATTACCATCGTAATATTTCAGTGAAATATCCAGTGTTTTACAGTGCAGACATCCCAAGCCGCAAATTACCTATGATATTACCATTAGTTTTAAATACACGTGCTTTAAATATGTTGTCACAAAAAATGTTATCTTTTACAGATAAAAAGACATTTCAAGAATATAGGTGTCCCCGCAGATGTGAAGTACATAGACCCAACATATATGGTTCGAGCATGCCGTGCTAATGCATCTGATGCTATCCTATGCACTGTGCTTGGCCAGAATGCTGTAAGCATCACTTTACCTCTTTTTTGTCATATTAATGTTTCTCACAGACGACTAGCAACATCTAAATGCATTCATTGAGAAATTATACAGTGGATTATCTAATATTGAACCTACACTAACAGTGCACTTTTGCTATAAGCAGTTAAAGTCAACAAGGCTTGTTTCTATATTGCAAAAACCATTTTAATAAACAATTATGAAAGAGGTTGCAGGCCTACTTCATTCCCTGTTTCATCATACTCTTATTTTCTTTTTCATTTTTTTTCTCCTCTACATACCTCTTATTTCTTTACTTTTTTTGTTATAAGAACTGCTGCTAATTTCTGAATGGAATGAGACTGAACAACCCTTATATTATTTGGTATTGTTTAGAAGCATTGAAGTGTTAGCAATACCACTGAGGATATGATGATATGCATGCATAACTACATTCTTCCCAGATTACATTACTGAAATTTGGGAACTGCCTTCCGCAATGGCCTCCAATTATTCTTTAAATAACCTTGTACCCTGCAAATCCCAACTGTTCAGAAATGTTTGATCAGATATGACACCAGGCTCCATAAATTCCCTCATGATCTTCTTTCAACCTCCCATCACTGAACAACTAAACATTTTCCCTCTTCCAACAGATTTTCTTTTCTTCTTTTGCCACTTGATGAATGACTTTGCTAGATCCTTTTTATTACATAAGGTTTGCTTATGCTCTCTTTGATGCAATCCAGCAATTAATATATTGTGTTGTTTACAAAAATATATTGTGACATGAAACAAATCCATTTTGCTTCGTTTGGTTGCTAACAGTGCACTTCATATTGCTAGACATCACTCTGCTGTGCAATTGCATCATAGAAGTTCATAGACCACTTTCCCTTGTGAGAGAATTAGTCACTATTTCTTTTAGATCCATTCCTAGCATATCTGATTGATAGTTTCAGCAGTACAGCTTGCACCTACGTGTCATAAATGCATGACACTACATTGTTGCCCATCCATATGCTCCTCTTTAATGTGGTTGCATTTGTTAGGTACATGGTGCATTTGCTGGATTCAGTGGCATCACAACAGGCATATGCAATATCCATTATGTCTACCTTCCCATTCCAGAAGTAATTAGATCTCCGAGGCGTGTCGACCCCAACAGTAGAATGTGGCACCGATGTCTGACATCAACAGGCCAGCCTGATTTCCGCTGATATTAATTAGGGAGCAGCAGCTTATTCAGATTGCTTCTTGCTTCCTCCAAAGTGTGCATGTTTGGGGTATAGAAGGCTTTAAATAAGGATCATTTTCCAATTTTCTTTTACACAATGATCATGTAAATTATCAGTTTTGTGATTAATAAAGTTGAAAGGAGGATGACAGACATCATTTGAGGATGCCCACATCAGATGTAATAAACTGCGATGTAATTGTAGAAAAATACAACCAAATAATGGTTCTTGCATATGTATTGTAACTATTTTTTGAAAAGTTCGAGGCTTTTAAAGGTTGCAACTACTAATTTATCAGGGTTTCCATGTACATCACATTAAGTTCCAATAAGGATTCAATTATAGTATATTTTGTTTGACTCGCTGGATTTGTTTTATCCTCATCATCACTTTAGTAATCACTGTAATCATAGAAAACAACTACTTTGCTAACAACAACCAGCCAGGTTTTGATGCTGTAGCTAACAAATTAGCAATGAAACAAAGATAGAAGACAAGATTCAAGAGCCAGCCACAACAGACACATCAATGGATTCAAAAGTCCACACCCATAGAGAACAGCTACTTTGCTCGATCATTCTTGTCATCTAATAAAAAAAAAGACTTGGCACAAGACCAATCAAAACCGTAAATTTCTGCAAAATTGGAACACCTGAATATAAATTGGTCACTTTCATCCAGTAACTCGTGGGTTGGAGCAAGCAATCAGCCTCAGACAGATGCTACAGCAGCCATCCGCTTATGAACAAATGCCATGCCCTTCTCAATGCTTGCCTTCAGTTCTGGCTTCAAAGCGTCCAGTGCCTTCGCCTCATAGTTGGTCAGTCCCTGAAGGTCAGATGAGATCACAGCTTCGACGCCTTTCCTGCTGAGTTTAACTCTTGATGCAAAGAACGGTAGCTCGGTGATATCAGATTGCACAAAGGAGCACTCGTAAACATCCCCATCTCCGTCCAAAGCACGAAGAGAGGACTCCACGAACCTGGCTGCCGCATAGGCCATTGACAGAGTTGCTGATCCAGCACCAGCTTTTGCCTCTACTACCTCCGTCCCTGCGTTCTGAATCCTCACTGTAAGCTCTTCAGCTTCTTCATCTGTGAAGGTCACAGATGGTCTCGTCTTTGACAACAGTGGTAGTATGGTAATTCCAGCATGCCCACCTACAACTGGGACATCCACATCAATAAGCTTAAGGTTCTTCTTTTGGGCCACGAAGGTGTTGGCTCTCACGACATCAAGTGTGGTAACACCAAAAAGTTTCTTTGGATCATAGACACCCTTCTGCTTGAGGACCTCTGCAGCTAAGGGGACAGTAGAATTCACGGGGTTGCTAATGATATGGATAAAAGCATCTGGAGCATTATCAGCAACAGCCTCCACCAGTGTCTTCACAATGTTGGCATTGACATTGAATAGATCATCACGGGTCATGCCAGACTTTCGTGGAACCCCTGCAGGTATTACAACCACATCCACGTCCTTCAAACTGTTGGCTAGCTCTGATTCTCCTGTGAAACCCAGACTCTGCGAGGGAGTGTTACAATGACTGAGATCAGCAGCTACCCCCTTTACATTTGCAACATCATAGAGATGCACAGCTGAGACCAGCGGGGACATCTTAATCAGGAGAGATAATGGTTGCCCAATACCACCCGCAGCTCCAAGAACAGCCACCTTAAAAGATGAAGCCTGTGGCACCAGTTGACTTTTTGTTCTCAGGTTCGATTTCCCCAATTTTGGCTTAAATGACTCCCAGACAGAAGCATGTCTCCCATTTCCCATAAAAGAGGTCTCTGATTCACAGAAAACTGATGATGATGCTTTCAGACCACTGAAACCCTTGAAAAGCTTTGGGGCATTGTGATTAACATGAAGAGGCTTCGGTTTTGCTCCCAAGCCAATCTGAGTTCCATAAGAAGCAACTGAGCCAACGGACAGAGCTGAGCCAGCTACCGATGCCATCCCCTTTGTGATATGGAATAAGCAAGAAGTGCTCAATAATTAGATTGAAACAGATACATGTTAACAGAAATAAGTAGCTGGTCAGCAACTTGCAACTAGACTTTCAAGTAAATTATATCCATCTAAACCCCGTAACAGAAGACTTGGAGGTGAGAAGAGTTTTCACCTTTTTAATCTTAGCAGACTAATTATATCATTTTTATCACATCAACTATAGCAAGATTAGAATGAAATAACTTAGAAAGATGATACAAAATTCAACTTATCCTAGAGATCAATCATTACCTTGTCAACTGTTTGCAACTAAACTCTCAATGACGTCAAAATTACAGTAAATCGGACGACAAAGAAGGCCTGTTATTCATCATTTAGATCTAGCATGGGTAGGCGATGACCGTCTTATCAACTTATAACATGATTTCAATGGGGTTAAATTCTTATACCAAATGACCCTTTTCAAATCTTATGCTCACGGAAAGTGGTTTAATATCGTTGAGTATGAAATAACTTATGGATTGTTATAGGCTTAGAAAATGAAGTAATATGTCCTTGACATCTGAAGTGAAAGCAATGCAAAGAACATCATTTTCTTCAAAGAAGCTTTAAACAAAAAGATTGATTGGGGTTAGACACAAAATATATTAATACAAAAAGTTCAGAGCAAACATATCAGGAACCAAGGCGGCTGCACAAGCGATATCGACATGCTAAAGATGCTCAAGTTAAAGTGGAACATGCTTTAGAGTGCATTACAGATGCTTTGGCCAACCAAAAAGCATAAACTGTTCACACTAAAACAAATATATCAGCAGAAAACTGAAGAAATAATATATCAAATTTGTATGGATCCAAATCCTTAATTCAAATCCAATTGAAAAAGCTTTTACTGTCTGTTAGACTAGTTAAAACGAACTTTCCTAACCCAAATAAAGTCCTGGACATGCTACAGTTCATAAATACGACGGAAAAAGAAAGCCAAAAAATACAAAGATCATAAAATTCAGCTTCTGCCCTATATACAAAAGAAATTGGACACGAGATGTCCAAAGAACGAGTCCAGATTTTAGGATTCCTCATATCTGTAATGCGGTTGTGATAAAAAATGAATCTTGCCAAGAATAAAAATTAAAAATGTTAAGGCGTTTCGTTAAACTTCCCTCAGACTCCATTTCTGCCTCTGCGACCACCCAGAATCGACACCATTAACCCCATTCACCCGATCCAAGTACCAAAACCAAAGGCCAAGAATAGATCTTGAAAAGAAACTCGAAACTAATACCACCTACTCAGAAGTCAAGATCATCTCATTCACACTATCCAGATACCAAGAACAAGACTAGATCTTGACAACCAATTCGAGACCATCAATATGTGCTGGACACATCCCCGGGGTCGAAACATAAGACAGCTCAAGCAACCAAACAAGTAAAATGAAATCCAAATCCATCTCTGGAAACCACTAGCATCTCCAACAACGACAAGAATCACCGGCATCATCTGAATCTATTACGTTGTGCTCTCGTATTCCAAAGCCATCAACACGAAACATCAATTCCTAACCTAGACACAGAGCCACAGACGGAGATCCAAGAATGCGCAGCGAGAAGCAAGGTCGGGAAAGAGAAAGCGGGAGAGAAGGAAGGATACCTCGGACGGATAGGAGTTTGCTTGCTCGCTCGCTCGCTCGTTCGCTGGCTCGCTCTGTGGATTGGTGGCGGTGGGCGGAGATTGTTGAGCGATTAAATCAATAGCGGCGGCAGAAAAGCGAAAAGCGTGGCCGAATGATCGGCCAATTGTACGTTTACGCTATGACCGGTCCGAGTGAACCGGTAGAGAAGCTACTGTGTCTCCACCAAGATACCAAACACAGGAAAACGCGTTTCGCGCTTTCCCTTCAGTGGTCGCATCCTGGGGCCCATGACTATCAACCCAATCTGTGTCATAATTGGACCTGAATTCTGCCGATACCCATACATCTGATAAGCGACCAAGTGTTCGCATCTTGACTCGGCGGTTCAGATTTAAGGCATGCCATGTCCCACTGAACCGGAAGAGGCAGCTGCTCTGTCTCCACCAAGAGACCAATCACCGCGCCTCGGTGAGATACGTAGTTGGCCCCGCAGCTCCCATCCAATGCCTCTGATACGAAAACCTGAAGCCTGGCTGTTATATGGAGCTAATCCACTTCTCTCCTCTCCGTATCTCGATTCGACCGGCCAAAAGCAAAGACCAGAGATGGCTCGAGGAACGTTGCTTTCTTGTTCCATGGAAAGCGGCCCGAAGAATGAGAACCGTTGATACTTCAAACAACAACATTTTCCTCACGTTTTAATTAGGAAGTAGTCATTTTCCTCTTTATATATATATATATATATATATAATGAGAAAACTTTGAGTTTTTTCTATAACGCGTTCCAAATTAAAAAAAAAATTTATAATCCACTCGTAATTACGTGAAAAAATTATTTTATTTTTATAATTTTTTTATCTTATTACAATCTCAGCTCTAATTTGTACTTCCATTTGACTTATCGACCCTTAGAACGAGAGAGGACGATCGACCATAATACGACGAGTAAGATTGTAAGTTCAAATGGAGGGGGTGACTAACGAAATAAAAATATAGTTTCACTCGTTTGCAAAAAAAAAAAGAAAAAATTAGGATGATTATATTGGTAAAATAATTATTTTTGAAAAAAAGATTATCGGTAGTAATTTTTTAAACTTGCGGTGCTGTGAAAAAAATATAAAACTTTTTTCAGAAATTCATCTAATTTTTAATAAAAATATTTGTATTAATATAAATTAGTGATTCTAACAACTTTGATCTCAATTCTTACGTTAGATTTCAAGAATCAAACACACAAAAGGACTTCAATTCAATCAATCATAACTAAGACAACAGATTCCGATAAACATACACCAATCGAAGTAGATTTTGTTGGGAAGTTTCCTTCACTTGGCATTCTTCTTTGTTTGCACGTGTTGCATTCGGTGAGGTCGGTCTTGATTTTTGTCTCTCTTTAGCTATTGCTTTCGTTACTCTCCTTAGCTCATCTCTTCCCTTCATCGTGTCGAGGTCACTCACAAGCAAGCTGTTGTTCTCCGGAGCTTCCTCCGCCCCAGTTGACTTCCAAGAAGGTAAATGGATTCCATAAGAATGTGTTCCAAGTTTACAAGTTGCATGATTGCGACAAATAATAAACAATAATAAACTTTAACCCATTTTTTTATGATTGGATGGAAATGAATCGAAATTATTCTACCATATCAATCTAGAATCTTGATTTTTTTCATAATTTATATTATCTTTTGATGCATATAAGATTAAACTGTAAATTATATTAATCAAATTATTTTTTAATATTTATTATGAAAATAATATTAGTCAAAATCAATATATATAATTAACTCATTAAGAAATAGTATGTGAGAAAGTTGGTTTATGGTCACACCCCAAACTCGCTCCTCAAGTCTTTATTGGATGTCTACCTGTTTCCACTAATGCCTATGAACCTAACTGAAGTCCAATCTCCAACCCACTTTCCACAAACAGCACAGAAGAATCAATCTCACCTCAGTTCCCTGTGAAGAACAGGTTTCTCTCACGTCACAAACGGAAGCAATAGCAGTGTTATTTAGATAGAGAAATTGGGAAAGGCTAGCATCTCTGACAAGGGAAACAATGGCTTCTTCTCGCTTCTTGTCACTGTTTCTGGTCACAGCACTCGTCTCTCTCTCCTTCTGTGAAGGTGTCTGTCTGTCTACCTCGAGTTCTTGTTCCTGTCATATTCTTCCTACCGAAGTATTGCTTGTGCTGAATCTTGGTCATCCTCTGTGCAGGACATGGAAGAAAGCTTATCATGAGAGGTCTCCTCTCTGAGACTGAGGTGTGCTTTCTTTGTTTTGCTTCAGATTTGTGCTGTTAAGTGCATGATAAATCTCCTCTTGATGGATCTGTTAGTGAAGTGCTTCAAATTTGGTACTCGTGTTAGAATGGGCTGTGGACCGGAAGGGACATGGAGGAGACGGTGATGGACTACAAGGAACCTGGAGCTAACACCAACCCAAGGAGTGGTGTCTTCTTCAGCACCCCACCCTCACCTCCCAGACCTTGACTTTTCTATAACTCGCATAGTATTACTACACCTCAGAAGAGGAACCTAAGATGTGCATGTGTATTAATGCAAATAAAGGAGTTCTCCAGGAGAAGTCGTCTACCGCATATGAAGCTTTATATTCTGATGTTGTTGCGATTGTCAGAAACTATTGATTTCCTGTGAAATTTTAACTGGTTTTTGCTCTGAATTCTGTCCTGTGAGATCTCAATTTTCTCCGACTCTCAGTCTTCTTCCAACCACCAAAATGGAGGATTCAGTCTCTTTGGCTGAACCGATCGAATACCTTTTCCTTCACACAATCCTCCAGGACCTCCACCGGGACATCATGAAGCTAGAGAAGTTCTCACTGGCATCCATGTCCTTTCGCCACTCATACTTCCAGTTCTGCACATGCCTGATGCATCACAGAAGCAATCACCTTACAGGAGACGCAGACCTAAGCGGGGAAGACATGGAGATGGTCATGGCGTCGACCACCTCAAGGAGGACATGGAGTCTGATGAGCTCTCTACTTTGTTCGAATAGAAAGAACCGGGCCCAGAAGAAGTGCGAGGCAGCCTGAGAACGACGATGGGTTCATCGATGCAGTGGAGTTGCAGAGACTTCTTCTTCACCTTGTCTTCATTCACGGAAGGGTTGGAGTTGGATTTGGTTCATCTAGATATCGCAAGACGGGGATTGGGTTGGATTTTGGCCTGATCTATGGACCCAATGTTGTGATGGTCGAGCCAAACCACATCGATTCGGAACCAAATTGCCGGGGTGGACCCCACCTTTATGCCTTCGTAATCGGAATGGACCCACCGATTTATGTTGATCTGCCATCAACACGACTAAATCATCACGACCCGACTAAATCATAATTCGTCGAGCAATCCTACCGATCACAATAGCAGCGGACGGCTCTGATGTTGGAACTGCAGGGTTCCAAGCAAAGCATCACAGGGAGAGAATCCACATACAAAAAAGATGATTCGGCTTCTTCATCTTGACCGAGAGAGGAGACACAGAACACCGTGCTGCTACTGGGAAAAAGATGTGGGTTCCAGTCATAGGTCCCGTGGACCCCACTCGGGTATCCAATATAATGAGATCTTCTCGTGTTTGGTCCCTCGGTTATATGTCTGGAACAGCGAAACGAAGCGAGAAGCGGATATAGATACCTATCCCAACCCCTTCCTTGTTCATCCAGTCTAAATAATTCGCTTTTCCCTGGAAAGGTCTTCTCCTCGTGCTCCCCCGTGCTAGGGTTTGCGGCGGACCCCAAGGGTTTTCACGGAAGCGAGCGAGATCTCGAGGTATGAGGCTTTCCTGTCTTGCGAGTCTTCTCACCAAGCTTAGGGTTTGCCCGCTACTCATTTGTTGCATCTTCCTGGTTTCGCTTTCTTGCACGATCTTGGAATGCATCCTATGCTAGATTTGGGGTTTGTTAGGTTGACGACTTCAAGGATGTAGTTGAGGCGATTTGACATGCGAAGGATCTCATCTTGAAGTTTTTCTTTATTGAATTAATTCGTAGAGAAACGAATTGTGCAATAGCTGCGGCATTGCCTAGTTCCTGAATAGATGGATTGTGTTGCGTAGTTGGTTGTCTTCAATATGCCAGGAAAGATGGCATTTTATTTTGTGATTTTATCCCTTCGTTACCATGCAGAATAATAGTTTTTTTTTTAATCATGCCTGTATGAATTAGATCTATCTCTATGCTGCCGAAGTGTTCCATTTCTGCGTAATGGAAACTTTGTTCATTGTTTTTTTTTGTTTTTATCATGCCTGTATGAATTAGATCTATCTCTATGCCCGTATTTATGGAGTGCTATGAGCCCATACTTTATAGAAGCTTTCTGAAGAAAGATCATACATAAGGTACCGAAAGTTGACATAGATTGATCATTTGCCTTGTTTCCTCTAGTGTAGGAGTATTTTTAGATATTTAGTGCTTAGTTTAGGATTTTTTTTCCTAATTTGTGTTTTGGTGATACAGAGTGGACTCTCTCCTAAGTTTTTAGATTTTAACAATGTTTTTCTTATGATTTATCTTTAATATGTAACATTATTTCTATGTGCACCTTGTAGCAGTGATCTTCCATCCAAAGATGCATAGTGCTTGAACGCATACTGGGTTTTTTTGCTTTAGTTTCATTATATAGCTTGTATTTATATATGAATATCAGCTTTTGTCTTACTGTCATAAGTTGCTATTAGGATTTAGAGTTACAACCACCTTGTGTCTTGGCCTGGTGGTTCAGGGGCTGATGGGCCATATCGCAACAGTTGCTGCTGTTGGATTCCCAAAATTCAACGTAATTTTTTATCCATTTAGCTTTTTTTTTTGTCCGGGTGCCTTGGTTATCGCACAGATTGGGCCAACACCCTTGGAAAAAACCATTTGGCATTTCATGGGATGTCATGTGATCAGCTAGCTGATGGAACTACAGTTTGAATGATAGTATTGTTGCAAAATAATTTCAGTAATTTTATTTTTTCCCTTTCAGCTTTAAATGGCATATCCTATGTTGATTTGTTTGAATTGTTTGTTAAATTGTCATGAATAGTGTCAGAAAATTTTGCTTTTTAGAATGGTAGAGAAACTTTTTGTTCTTCTTTTACTGTCTTGGTATTCAAACCAAATATCTTAATTTTGCAGTGGGAATTTGTTGTAGACAGTGAATATCAAGCCTTTGGCAACAATGGCTGGACGGAGAAACAATAATGGGAAAAGATCTTATTCACAGTCTGACTACTCCGACAATGGAGGAAGCAAGAGAAGAAATCCTGGTGAAGAAAGAGACACCTATGCTCCTGGGCCTGAAGATACTGTTTTTCGTTATTTATGTCCTGGAAGGAAGATAGGAAGTATCATTGGGAGGGGTGGAGAGATTGTGAAGCAATTAAGATCTGACACGCAAGCAAAGATCAGAATTGGGGAGACTATACCTGGTTGTGAGGAGCGAGTCATAACCATTTTTAGCACAAGGAGAGAAACCAATACACTTGAAGATATTGGTGATATAGTTTGTCCTGCACAAGATGCTCTCTTTAAGGTGCATGAGCGGCTAGTTACTGATGAGGCAGTTGACGAGGACATTGATGGAGACAACCCTCAAGTAACTGTTCGTCTGCTTGTGCCATCTGATCAGATTGGATGTATTATTGGGAAAGGAGGACAAATCATTCAAGGTATTCGTAGTGACACTGGTGCACAAGTACGCATTCTTAAGAATGAGCACCTCCCTGCTTGTGCTATTAGCAGTGATGAGCTACTCCAGGTATGTTGGATCATGTTATCTCTTCCTCTTTTCACTCATAAAAATGTGGTTGAAAGTCTTCTAGTCATGAAATATATGGGGAGGAAATGTTGCTTGTGCATTTACAAAGTTTTTGTTTATTTTATAAAATTGAATGTTGATTCTGATGTTGGCAATTCTTGCTGTTGGCTGTCTTCTAAAATCTGTCAGTGTCAGTGAGCTTTTTATTCTGTATTATTAGTCTGCTTTCAATTTTCCTCCGGATAATTTTTTCTTCTGCATTTTTTTTTGTACTGGTCATACTTCACAAGCATATTATGATTATTTAATACTATTTGGAGCTGTTCGTTTTTTTAACTTCCCTGTTAAAATGAAGCATCTAATTCAAAGTCATGGAATAATCTTTTTGTTATTTTTTGATGAAGTTACGCTTACTGTACTTCAACTTGAATGGAATCAGATCGGTGGGGAAGCATCAGTTGTAAAGAAGGCTCTTCTTCAAGTTTCATCACGCCTTCATGATAATCCATCTCGTTCCCAGCACCTGCTTTCTTCTGGCACACCTCAAATGTTACCAGTTGGTGGTCAGTTTGGGGTTCCAGGCACCACTGCACCAGTCATTGGCATTGGTCAACTGATAAGTTCTTATGGTGGTTACAAGGGAGATGCAACAGTGGATTGGCCATCCTTTTACCCAACTCCAAGAGATGAAACTGCTGGAAAAGAGTTCAGCTTGCGTCTTCTTTGCCCTTCTGCAAACATAGGTGGTGTGATAGGCAAGGGTGGTGTTATTATTAAGCAGATTAGGCAGGAATCTGGGGCATCTGTCAAAGTAGATAGTTCATCTGTGGAAGATGACTGCATAATCACAATTACTGCAAAAGAGGTAGGGGACTTGTTAGTTCTCGTTGGTGACGCCTTCATGTTGCTTTATGCCTGTCTAGTATATGTTACACATGAGCTTTTGTGCATGAGGTTACTTGCCTGAGTATGTTGTTCTTGTGGTAGAGCAATGGAGTTTTCATCCACTTATGACTGTTATTTTTGTTTAGTTCTTCGAGGACCCAATCTCTTCAACGATAGATGCAGCAGTACGCTTGCAGCCCCGGTGTAGTGAAAAAACTGAAAGAGAATCTGGTGAACCTTCTTACACCACCCGCCTTCTTGTTTCCACATCACGGATTGGTTGTCTAATTGGTAAAGGAGGATCAATTATTTCTGAGATGAGGAGGTCGACACAAGCAAATATTCGTATACTCTCAAAAGAAAATGTACCCAAAGTTGCTTCTGAAGATGATGAGATGGTTCAGGTAAGTAGTAAACAATGTTTCAGTTGTGCTGGTTGCATATATTTTGAGTATGCAGGTATATTAAAATCAGACAGGGTTTGTTAATTGCTTGTGTGCCATTATGTTGATTCTGTATAGATTAGTGGAGACATTGACACTGCAAGAAATGCACTCGTACAAGTGACAACACGTCTGAAAGCCAATTTTTTTGAAAGAGAGAATGCACTATCTTCAGTTCCTGCTTCTATTCCATATCATCCTTTGCCAAATGATGCTTCTGAGGGGTCAAGATATGGGAGCAGGGATGCTAAGGCACATGGACGCGGGTTTTCTTACTCTGGTGGATATGGTTCTTCTAGTGATTTGGTAACCTCTGATACTTATGGAAGTTATGGTGGTTCTCAGGTATGATCAATTTCTGAAGTTAGTAGGGCAACATTTGTATGTTAGCTACTTGGAATTGCACTAAATCGTCTATGCATCCTTAGGGTGGTGGTAGCAGCTATGGAGCTTATGGTGGATACTCTTCTCGACATGGAAGTTCTGGGTAAAGGGTTCATTTTTTAACATAACATTTGATGTATTGTTGATTCATTAACAGAGTTTTCAAATGTTTGCTTCTTTACCAATTTAACTTTGCTAGGGATGTTACATATGATGGTTGAACCAAGTGTTCTGGGAGGGGCTGAGAATTCTTTAGGGTCTTTTATATCAATTTAGAATTTGTTGGACATCTCTCTTTGTTAATTCTACTTGCATTTGGAGGGATCTTAAGGATGTTTATTTTGTTGGGGGTAAAGACATAAGGATCTACAAATTAGGTGAATAACAGACTGAAATTTCAAAATATCACAGAAACAATGAAAACATTTTTAGATCGCCTAAGATTTAGGTTAGTAACATTCAGAGACCAAAAATTTCAGCTAAGATGTGTTCAGGACCTCAGGTAATGTTTAAGTTCGTAATTCAGGATACTTAATGAAAATTATGGAGGATAGTAATGCAAAGATAAAAGAAGCTTTTTCTGCTGTCCTGAATTACAGGTCATGGTTTGTACTGTCCTCAAATAGACCAGGAAGTTAACCGAAGAAATGAAAAACATCGATCAAGCTTGGTTTGGTTTAGGTTTCCATTGGATTGCACAACTTAGATCTGTGATTTCTCTTCTCAACTCGGTGTAGAAAGCAGTGATAGTTACTTAGCTAGTATATTAGATGTTATAATTTAGAATATGAAATGGTTGAAAGTTGAAACTCATCCAGTTCCTACTTGTCATACTTTTTACACCATAAGAAAATAGATTTTTAACCATTCATGTTCTTGTTGTGAGTTGTTAAGTATATCATTGGATGAGATCTTCTTGATGTTACCAAGAGTTGAGATTTGATCTTTAATCGTTTCTAGATACTTGTAATCTTGCATGTGGCCACTAGTTCATTGATGAATGGATTAGATTATTTTCATTCTGTTGTTGGAGAGTTCATAAGACAAGGCATTTGGTGATGTTCTCTCTACTGGTTAGATTATTTTCATTCTGCTGTTAGAGTTCATAACACGAGGCAATTGGTGATGTTCTATTTACTGGTTTTGAAAACACAAAATATTTTTGAAGTATCAGTATAAGTTCACTTGTACTGATACACCTTTGCATTAGCTGGTCTTGTCAAACTCAGCATTTTGTTCCTTCTTCTGAACAATAATTTTGGCTGAATGGTGGGTCTTCTCTGAAACTTGAATAAGTGATTATTTGAGATCTGCCCCCCTGGATTTCTTGATTTCGTGCCAGAGTGACCATAACTTGCTGTCTGATGATAGGCTCTGATCCATCTAATCATTGCTTAAGAATTTTATCACTTGTAGATTTGTCTCGAACAAAGCATCTACAATCTTCCAGAAGGAACATGGATTCATCTCTAATGGAGCCATATTCCTCAAGCAAGCAAGTTATTTAACACATCTTTTCACGTTCAGAAATAGTAAATAAACACCATTATCCTGCTGCCACTAAACCTATACATTTGTTAGCTGATCTATAATGCAAAAATGCTATTGATTATTCCCTGCTTCACCAAGTGTTCATTCATCAATTACTGTTGGTTACTTAATTGGACTTGATGTTCAACATTTGGGAGGTTCTTAGGACCTCCATGGGCATCTGTTTTGTCCATTCTACAAATGCAATAGAAGACTTTGTTTCTGTCATTTGCTTCTGTTGACTAAAATATAATCACTGCTCAGTATATATGTAAGCTTCTCATGTCCTTCAACAGAAGATTGCATATCTATGTGACCCTAATTTGTAGCTTGCTTTACCAGGTTATCTGGTCAAAACACAGTTTCTCACGGGAAACATCGTGGTTATTAGAATCCCCAGTGACTAGGGCAAACAGGTAGAACACTCCTCTCAGTTTGTTTTAGATTTGGAATACATGTAATGAATCCGGATATGCTTTGAGAACTGTGTTGCTCTTTAATGAACCAACAACCTATACTAGAATTCTTATGCAGGCTAATCTTGTTGACCTTTGTTGCCTTGCTGTCCTATTAAAACAGTTGTCTGAGAAGCCTGGAGCCAGCCTATACGAAGCCTCAAGCCTAAACCAGAAGAACAGATGAACAGAGCCTGAGATAGTAATGCCCACATACAATGATGATACCATTTAGTTTCCTCCACGCCCTTCGCTTTATACCAGGCCATATTTGCATAACCATGGGCCCAGCTTAAAGCCCCACCTTCTCTCGAACAATGTTTTAAGGATTATAACTGTTTGTACTTTGAACCTCAAGCTCTTCCTCAAATTGTGAATGTGGAGTCATTTGCCTATATTATGGATGTTATCTTTGAAATGAAACCCTGTCGTGGAAGGTGCTTATCATGCTTGATCAATCTCCTTTTCTTTTTCACTTTCTACTCCATTGCTGTTGCAGCCTTTGTGTTTTTTTTCTTCCTCCTGCTGATCTTTTCTGGACATGATGTGATTGATAAACTTAAAATTTACCCTTTTTTTTTTTCGTATTGTTGGGTATTCGTCCTTTTGCAATCATAGGTGGAGGCCCTGTATCCAATTGGTCGACCTTTGGAGCTATCCCCCTTTGTAAAAACTTGGAATGAGGATTTGTTGGAAACCAATCTTGGATAATGGCCATATCCTAGCAAGGAATGGCTTTCACTGGATTGCACTTTAAAATACTTTGTTTCAAATCAACTTGGAGTATTTTAGCTCATCTATGTTGTTAGGTGGATAGAATGTTTTTTTAATATATTTGCTGATCAATCTCTACTGAAAGTTGTGCCACCTGTTGATTTTGCTGAGATTTAGTTTGTTAAGGTTGCTATCCTGTTCTATGAGAATCTAATGAGGTTTGCATTAGAATGCTCTAAACGCAATTACAAGTTCTGCAGGTTTTCTGAGGTGTATAGCTTTTATAGCTTTACATGGCTTCTAAGTTTTGCAGTCAACTGCCATGGCCACTTCATGACATTGTCATGTGGAGCCTAATATGCTTCTCATTTAATTCTGTCATTTATGAATTACTAACTTTCACAATGAGAGGTGCTACATGTCAAAGAAATGCGAGAAGTATAAAGGTATCATCTCCACCTTTGTCCTGTGACATTATTATACTTCAGTATCTGGTGGTGCAGTTGGTTGCCTGGATCCCCTCTTGAAGGTAAACTTAGATCTTATGTTGTATTTTTCTGATTAAACTATTATCCTCTCTCCCTTTTTTAATCGATAGTCAAGGTACAGGTAGACCGACAAACTTATCGAGACACCATTAGTGCCAATAGAATTCTTTGTAATGGCAATTACAAGATTATGTACCAGTACATATGTACTTGATGTTAAAGTCAGTAATCTTTAATATCTTGTTGTTGTTGTTGTTGTTGTTATTATTATATATATATATATATGTATATATGTATCTGTTTGTTTGTGTGTGTGTGTGTGTGTGTGTGCAGGGATTTTTGATCTGGAACAAAGCCGATCAGTCTATGGCCCAATTAATGTGTTCCTCTATCATTTGCGTTCATTGATGTGTTTATACTTATGAGTGTTCTTCCTGAGAACAGAAGGGCATATAAAGATTGCACGCATCTGAAACTATGTCAAGTAATGGAGAGAACCATGTATGCTATACAGCACGAGTATTCTCTTTTGTGTCTGTATGTTATACAGCCAGCCTTTTTAACAGACTCTGAAGATACTCATGTTCTACGTGACTCTGATAAATGATGATGCTTTGAATAATTACTATGGGGCTATAGCTCATCGTGGTTTAGGTTACGCTGCAAGTGTTTGATTGTATGCCTCAATGAGTGGCTGTCTGTGGCTGTCGTCAGGTGAACGAGACGCGACTCGTGGATGAGAAGCCAGTGCCCGTGAATCGTTGTGAGCATTCCTGTCCCTCTGCATCGATCTCTGAGAAGGCATCGCAGGTGTTCGACACAAGGCCGGCGCTTCACCCTTGCATGACGACGTGGATGATGCTTTGCTAGAAACCTCCTGCTGTGTCTGAAGCGCAACGCAACATATGTCGAACTTAGTGGAAGTGGAATCAGAGGCTTGAATGCGACGAGAGTTCTCGATCCAGCGAAACAGATGCTGCAGCGTTGTGCGCCCTCGGAACTGCTCGACCGGGGGCCAGCGCCTGCAATGGGCCTCGTGACGAGCAAGGCGGGCGCAGAGCATTGGGATGTCCACAAGCGTACACATCCCTTTCTGTGCTGCTATCATTGTTGGGACAGAATGACATCATTGTTGCGGCCACAAATCCCAATTCAAGGTCAAGGAGTCCAAACCGTAGGTAAAACCGTAGCGGAGAAGGCAACATCAGGCATCCCAGTATCTGGTATCCTTCCTGTTCTCTCCATACCTGAATACTATTATTATATATGGAGTTGGTCGTCTCCCTGGCTTGATAAGTTTTTGCTCAGAGACTCGAGACCAGGGTATGTTGTTTCCTCCTGCCATATGCACAACTGATCTGATGTCGTTTGATTCCTCCTTCGTGATTCGGTTGCATGCTCAGGTTGATGATCGAGGCTGGGGAAATGTTTCTACCACCAGGTTTTCGCTTCCATCCAACTGATGAGGAGCTCATCACTCACTACCTTGCGCCGAAGGTTGCCGGTACCAGTTTCTGTGCCACTGTGATTGGGGAACTTGACCTCAACAAGAGAGAGCCATGGGACTTGCCATGTGAGTTTCTCCACCTCTCTTCTGCGCTGCCTGCCTCATGTGATCCCACCAACCATGTTTGGTCCTGCAGTGAGCACAAAGGTAGGGGACGAGTGGTACTTCTTCTGCACGAAGGACAGGAAGTACCCAACTGGCTTGAGGACAAACAGAGCCACCGATTCCGGCCACTGGAAAGCAACAGGAAAAGATAAGGAGATACACAGAAGACGGAATCTGATCGGGTTGAAGAAGACTCTGGTCTTCTACAAAGGCAGGGCGCCCAAAGGTGAGAAGACTAATTGGGTCATGCATGAGTACAGACTGGAGGGGAATCAGTCAAACACGGTGCAAGTATTCTTCTTCCCATCTCCTCTGTTGGTTACTTTCTCTGTTCCGTTATGGCTTCTTTTGATGTATTCCTTCTTCTGCTCTTCTCCTCCTCCTCCTGCTTGGATAGAATGCTTGGGTGATCTGTAGAGTGTTCTGTAGAAGGTCAGGTGAGAAACAGGACATGCAATGGTTTGAAGATGAACTCAGATCTTCTGTTCCGGTCCTATCTGCGAATGATCACAAAAAGAACAAGGACGGGTTCTCTTCTGCATCCAATTCGACCCATGTGACCTGCTTCTCCGATGGCTTGGTGGGCCTGAGGGGCTCCGAGGAGTTGGCAAAGCCTTCACAGAACGCAATCATGGTGCCTCTATCACTGTCCTCGAACGCTACCAGCCCAGCAACCTCAAACCTCGTAGATTTGCATCACCGAGGAGACAGTTCGGTGCAGTTGTCCGAGAGCTACGGCCGTGGCAATGACAAGAACTTGAAGATGGAGGAGGAGGCTCTCAGCATTTCAGAGGAAACAGGTTTGATCACCAACATGGCGCCTGATATCTACACATCCATCAGAAGCAACTTCAATTACCAGGAGCTCCTGCCTGATGCAGAGCGACTCGATGTGCTGTCATGGAACTACTAGAACAAAGAATTGAGCAGCAGAAGACCATAGTGACCACTGTACATGTTGATTTCAAGAAGTACTCAATCTTACTAGAGATCAAATCTGTAGAGTGATGAGTAGCACATACCATAATTTTTGCATGGGGGTAAGAGCTGCATGATTGCATGATCAGTACCAAATCATGACGAAACAACTCATATAATTGATCCAGATGTGATCTCGTTGAGGTTGACCTCGGCAGTCGCATCAGATTTGCTTTTAGCTTGCACGTTTGGAAGATGGAGGAGAGTGACAACCATATACATCACCTTTTGGTCCCTTCCCTTGACTCTGCAATTAACTTTGCCTAAAAATTTCTTGTGTGAGGTATCAATTAGGTCAACTAATCACTCTTCATCCCTGTCCAAGTTCAAGTTATCATGCCCTCTGTCACCAGAAGATCTTTGTAAAATCTTTTCCAAGACACATAATTCTGCTTCACCTCATTAGTCTATTGTAGCATTTTGGCATCTATCATCCACAATGTGGGATGTGATTGTGACATAGCAACTCCCACATCAGTTTACAGAACAGTAGCATGAGATCTGTTGCTAAATAACATTTGCTTGATGAAAATTTCTATTATTTAGAAAAAAGATGAAGAAAGAAGATGGAAGGCATTGAAATAACAATACCAGTTTAAGAAATCTGAAAATTTAGTAAAAATATCAATCAAATCGGAAACAGAATCACTTATCTTGGTAGTTAATCGACCTACCGATGTAGAAATAACCATCTTCTGTATATAAATTGGCAATGTTCCTTTCAGTAATGATTCATCCTGTATTATAAATAGTTATGGTCCCCAAATTAGATATTGATTAATAAAGCATGACTGTGACCCACAGATAAACATTATCACCTGCCATCAAAAAACCTCTTTGCAAGCATTTGTTGTTCATATAATCTTATAAATAAAACGGAGTAATGATCTACTTAGATACTACTGATTCTTTTTTAAGCAGCAATCATATCTTAAAGGCCTAAACTGCAAGCTCAACAGTTCTCACAAGCAAAGTATTCTCTTCATTCAGTTCAAGGACTGCTGTTAGATTCTGTGTAGAAAGTGTATCGACATAATTACCAACTCATCGTTGTTGTCTCCTGATATCAGGTTTGCCACCACTCTGAGATTGGCAAGAAGTCACGGGGCATATAAATCTTGTCTCAGCTGAGACAAAACTGAGAGTTGTAATAGTTATCATGTGACTAGCTTCCAATCCAATCCTATGCATAATGATAAAGGTGATACCATCAGGTAACAGCAAGCAGAAAGAGACACCATGAGAGCTGCACAAACTGCCATGGCCACATATTTTGTGAACTCCTTCATGCCCACATGATGAACGTTGTTATGGATCATAGCCAGCTAATTGTCGTTGAGCTCGATCTCGTTACGTTTAAGTCTGAAGTAGAAAAAGAAGAATGTAGTTAGGGAGCATACAAAGTATGATCTGTTATAATCAAGAACACCAAGTTGAATACCTGTGAAATCACAATGCAACATGTGCATCAGCCTTCATCACCAGATTTTGAGTATAGTCTTTCTCTATGTTGGATATGTATTCTTAAATCATATGAAATTTTATATTATATTTTTGGTTGTTAAATACAAGGCAATATTATACAGCATGCTCATGTACTATGTATGGTTTCACATAGGGTCCTGATCCTCCAGTGACCTCTTTCTAGCCTTTAGGTTCTGCTCAAGGCTTTTAGGTAATGGTGGTGTTCTCCCTCGACGGAACAGAACAGCAAGAGCCCTCATCCTACGACAAATATCAAAAACCTGCAGATAAACATGGAAATCCATCAGGGAAATGCCAAATAATGGTGAATTAAGTGCATTTCTCTTTCTAGTGAACTAGAGAAACTAGATTTATCTTACAGAGGATGCATCCAGCTCTGCAATGCCTTCACAACCTTGGCCTCCTCCCTGTAGTATGTCACAGTATTTTGCGGCTTCATCCTCATCTTCAAAGACCTAACACAAAGCCCATTTCAACACCTTAAACCAATCGCACTGGGGTAAACTGTATAAATTGTGGACAGTATATGAAAGAAAAAAAAAAGCCCCATTTCTTTGGAAGTATTTTAATTACATCAGAGAATGCCATTACGTGCAAATGCCACATATGCATGCAAAATCATTCTAGATTAATACAATCAGCTGCCACAATGCCAATATACTTAAATTAAAAGAAAGTCACCAGAAAAGCCAAGTGATAGCACACTAAAGGTTACGATTCTGGTAGTTAAATGAGCAACTGGTAAGCAGAAAAACCTGGTACGAAGATATCTGATTCCAGAATCTCATAAAAAGATTAGAGATTCTAAAACAACCTATTAACTGGGCTTCCAGAAGGTTGGCCTCACTACATATCAACTGAGCTTTTCTCCAGACATATAGTTTGTATAAGTCCAATCTTCTTGAAAATTTCAGCATAAAATCATTAGCAACATATCTATTGCAGTTTCCCCCACCCCCCCATAATCTTCTTCTGTCTCAGAGAAACTGTGTAAGTGCTGTGTACGCACATTGACAGAGCTAGTATGCTTGGCGAGCAGAAAAGTTCTCATTTCATATACTGCCATGGAGCTCAAACAATTTTAAGAACCAAAACAATAGTAATTCCAAAGGTATCATACGTCTTAGCCTATCTCTCATTTTTTTTTTGTTCACAAGATGCATATATTTCTAATAGTTAAGAAGACCAACTCAATCTTCTGCATGTTTAAAGTTCCATGTAAACTGACACATCCAAATTGTTGACAACTCAATACAAGGCATTGATAGTTTCTGTTAGCCTACTTCTGAACCACTGAGCATGATCTCTTCACCCAATATATCTATCAAGTTTTTCTTTCTCGATTATTGATGTCACTTCTAGCACACACTAACAGGGCCATTATCCATCCTAGTTTTCCCAAGGGTTTCATTTTTCAGGAACTGCACACTACTCTGTCATGAATTCATTTAGAGCTTTGAGCTAGTGGTATGGTTGGTAGCTGCATGTCTACATTCTCTACTGACATGAATACATTCTCTACTGACATGAATAAAGCAAATGGTATGGTTGTTGATAGCTCTCAACTGAAGCAAACTTATACAAATTAGAACATTTTGACGTCCTATGGGATGCACTACGTCCAACTGCTGCTTATTAGTTAATGTGAAGACAAGTTCAGCAGCCAGAAGACAATAATAAAAAGATGTAGCTATAAGAAGACAATAATAAAGATTAAAGAGATCGAGTTTCCATAAGATAATTATTTGCAAGAAATAATTTTACAAAAATATGTGGTAGAACTAATTGTCAAGACTTACAAGCACTCCCTCTCTGATATCTTCCACAAGCATGTGAAACTTTGTCCCAGTACTCTGTTTAGCTTTAGTGCCGACTTCTGATCCCCGTTTTCCCCCTTTAGAGAACAGCAGCCCAAGTTCCCTTTCCACTTCGCTGAATGTGAAAAAGATAATTAGCAGTAGTTACAACAAAGAGAACAACAAACTACAATACATGTAGCTCAATGAGACCTGCGGCTACGACGTGTTTTCATTGTCCATAATTGGTTATCTCTTTGTGCCAAAACATAAACTGGTTTGGAGTCTTCTCTCCATGGATTGGCCTCCAACACTGTAAAACGTTTATATTACATAAGATGTCTCAGAAAAGTATTGTTGCTTATGGAGAGAGAACGTGAAAACCGAATCTAAACAAAATGTTTAAATTGACAGGAATGAGCCCAAAGAAATATATTTTGTAGTATGGATCTATACTCTTCCAATTAGATGAAAATGACATTGAAATGTCTTCTATTTGCTTTTGATCAAATGACTTTTCATAACCTTAGAACATCTCACTTACTCTCTTGAAGAATTCACATACACTATAGATGCAAGTGTGCAACAAGAACCTAGAGCAAATTCGGCATGAGAAGTTCTTCCAATGAATCCCGAGGATAACTATTTGACGGTGACGAGAAGACTTTCTTACTATAAAATCAAGCCCCTGCTACTTGTAAGCACCCACCTATAGCTACTTTCGAAAGAATTATCAGTACAAACAGCTGCAACTATCTCACGACTAATTAATAAGCAAATGTCCCATGTGAAAGAAGGCCTGACATAAGATAAGGCAAAATTTTGAAAAATAGAACATGGATGGCTCTACACATACAAGACAACAGTGCTTCAGATTTTAAATTATCCAGCTAAGATCATCTATAGTTGAATCTAACACCTGGATAGATGATGTATAAAAAAAAATAGCCAAAGTGATTCTCTTATATAACTTCTATACCACTTTAACCTAAGCCACTTTTATCATTGTCCTACCCTTTCCAGAGTGTATATAGTATATGTGTGTACATAATTAGGTCTTCTTCATCCCGCGATCAGAGTCCTCAGTTCTCCTAAGACATCATTCAGTTGTTAAACACGGTTTAAAATATTAGATCAATAAACATTTTGCTATTGGATGTAAGTCCAAAACAGATACAGATCAGAGTATATGGGATTTCCCATTCTGATTCAGATGTAATACGGCACTGGAAATGAATAAGACCTGGAGATTAGTAGGTGATCTTCCTACCTATTATAAGAGTTTATCATCTCATTTTTCCTTTCCAATTGACCATCTAGCTATTTATGGAGAAATATTCAAATATTTTCAGATAAGCAGAAGTATAAGCTATTCATCAGTATCAGGAAGCACTTCGTAACAACATAAAACCAATTGAATGAATTGAATCGACTGGATATCATCGCGATAAAAGAAAGAGAGCATTTCAAAGATGAATTTGAACAGCCGCCCGACGACGATCCATCACTATCTGGATCAAAACCAACGTAGCTTGTGGATAGAAGGAGAAGGGGAAGGGGGATTGGGGAATTTGTATACCATCGTAGCTGATGGAGTCGAGGGACTGCATGAGGTTGCGGCGCATGTCGTAGGCGCGGGAGGAGACCCGCCTGACGAACTCCTGCGAGCTCCGGGGGATGCTTCCGTCCATCCCCAGCGCCCTCTCCACCTCATCCTCCTCTCCCCCCTCCTCACCTCCACCAAATGAAGAGGACGACGAAGCCGAGGCGACCGCTCCTCCCCTCCGGTAGCATCGGCGAGACGACAGGAGAGGGACGGTAGAGAGATCAACCGAGCAGAGGGCGGCCAGGCGGTGACTCGCCGGGGAGGGAGGGCGGTGGTGTAGGAGAAGGGAGACAGCACGAGGAGGAAGGAGAGAAGAGGAAGGCTCTCTGCCGCTGCCGCCTCTCGTGGTGAGAGGAGGAGGAGCCGAGACGAAGGAAGGAAGCGCTTCCGAAGCCATCGAACGATCGCACGGAAAGAAAGGGGCGACAGAGGCGGGC